GTACAAACGAGATTTTGAGTGTAGTGAAAAAAGATGATTTTTGATGGAAAAGGAGGGTAAGGTGCCATAGGGGTGTGCATTCGGTTTGGGTTTTTCGGTTTGAAAAATTATAACCCAATTCGAACAAAAAAAAATTTGGTTCGGTTCGGTTTTTCTCTTTTCGGTTTGGCTATTTGGTTATAACTTATTTCATAACTAATTAATAACATAATCAAAGTTATATTTGCATGCTTAAAAAATAAAATTTTCATATAAGGAAAAGTAACACGAGTAAAACATTAAAACACAATAGTACTATCAATAATTTCAATGAAACTAACTCTAAAGTACTGTCACTAAACACAAATCACATCGAGGTTGAACCAGCATATATATATATATATATATATAATTCGTTTTTTTTTTGTTTTTTGGTTTTCATTTTTCTAAATTCGAAACCAAACCAAAAAACCAAACAAAGTACCTTATAAATCCAAAATCAAACCAAAAATCCAAAAAACCAATCCAAATTACAATTCGGTTTGATTTTTCGGTTTGATCCAAATAGTGCACACCCCTAAGGTACCATTACCGTTCTTCACCTTTTTTGTCGAAAAAATGGATACAAACACTCATATTTTATATTCTTTCTTTCTTTCTCTTCCTCCCTCCTCCTCTCTTTTTCTCTAAAAAAAACACCAAAATAGAAAGAAAAAAAAAACTGAAACAATTAAAAAAGGTAGATTAAAAAAAAAATGTTGGGTGTAGTAGAGAAGACAACTACCATCAAGGCAGAGGAGGTGGAGGGGCGGGGGGGGGGGTTAAATTTATATTTTTAGAATAATTTTTTAATTATATTTACAAAATAGATTTTTAAACAATTATTAACTTGAAATGATACATATAAGCATTTAATTGGTTGTTTGCCACGTCATCAACGAGTGTAGTACACTTGTAACATCTCGCTATTTGAAAGAACTAGAACGAGTTAGAATTGGAAAGAGTCATTTTAGGAATGAATGAAAAATCTGGAAAATTGGTTAAGTTATGTTAAGTTTGAGTTTTGGGTCAAATTTAAACGACCATAACTCCTAGCTCAGGATGAATTAGGTGTCTTTCCAGATACCGTAGGAAAGATCTTTAAATTATCTTTCCAATGCCGCTGAGTTTTCTCAATTACGAGTTTGTTTGATTGAGATATTCTCATTTGAAGTTGGGTTGTTTAGATAATAAAAGTCTAATCCGGATTTTAGAAGGGTATTTTGGTCTTTTAGATAAGGAAAGTCTGATATACCCCTCAACTTTGTCATTTAGAGTTGATATACCCCTCATTATAAAAGTGGCTCATATATACCCCTACTGTTATACAAATGACTCACATATATCTTTTTCCTCTAACGGAAGTGAAAAAATTAATTTTAGTTTTTTTTTTAATTATTTATAATATTATATGGGTATATTTAATCCTCCTCAAACATATATTTTTATTTTATAACTTTGTTTTGTTTCAATGACTAATTTAGATTTATTATTTTGATGGTCAAATTTATTTAAGTTTTGCTAATATTCTTGTAAAATTTATTATAGATGACCCATTTTTTTGTTCAAATACAAAAATTAAATTACAATATATCCGAAAATTAGTTTTAAATTATAATATAGCCAAAATAAAATAGTTTTAAATTTTTTTCTTTACACTAAAGAATGAAAGAAAAAATAAAATAAGAATAAGAAACTCAAATAATGATAATCAAAAAGTCAAAAAATAATTAATGTCCGAAAAAAATTAAAATATACCTTGAAATTTTCTAGAAAAATCATGTATACCCCTAAATAACTTTTTTAAGAAATCGAAAGTCAAAAATATAAATTTAAACCTAATTTTTTCACTTCCGTTAAATGAAGGGTATATATGAGCTCATTTTGTAACGGTAGGGGTATATGTGAATCGTTTGTATAACGGTAAGCGTATATATGAGCCACTTTCATAATGAGGGGGATATCAGCTTCAAATGGCAAAGTTGAGGGGTATATCAAGACCTTTTCCCTTTCGTTTTTGGTAATTACTTAGGGATCTAAACTGAAGTTGGTCAGTTTACGATTTTGCAATTTGAGTTAGGGTTTTGAGAGAAGAAAGGCAAGAATCGTCAAATTCTCGAAGCTAAGATCGTGAATTTCGCCAAGGAGTGATCCCTACGAGGTATGTGAGATCACATAGCATTGGGTTAATTCAGCCATGCGCCAATCATGATTCAATTCAGTGCAATTGTGTTCTTTTGAAGGATAAGATTATGAGTTCATGATGAAATTCATTTGAATTCTTGTGGATTCTTTCCACCTTTTCACACTTCTTTCCGTACTAGTTCATTAGTAACGTACCTATGTTTTCTAGTCAATTTCTACACTCTAAGGTAAGTTTAAATATCATGAAATCATCCATCAACATGAGATCATCAACCTTGAGTCCATAATTCAATTCAAGGAAAGTTAAGAGTCAAGTTAAGAAAAGTTCATAGAGTTTTCAAAAATCTTTTACAAACGTTTTAACTTTGTTTTAAGACTTGAGTTTTGAGTTGAGCAAATAGTAAAGACTTGAGTTCATTTCTTCAAAAGTTATATGGGAACTAAGTATTCCCAAGAGTTAAATGTTTTCACATTTAAACAAGAGGGGAAACACTGATTTCCAAGAGAGCTTTTAAGCTATGTTTTAAGTAATTATCTCAAATCAAAGAAAGAGTTTTGTTTTTAAAACATATGAGCTGAGTATATTTTGGGAGTAGTATTGAGCACCGATATGGGGACGAGTTCATAATAACTCAAGTCTCCATAAACCATGTAGCCATCATGGATAGTGATTTTTAGCATAGACTAGTGGATCCACTTAGTTGAGGCGTTCTATATCACGACAAGGTATAGGACAGTTCTGACAGTGTGGGCGAGACGTTGTATCATCACTTAGGCTCAAAGTGGTGGTTGTCGGTTAGAGAAACTCCCACAGTATTATATTACTTTATATGTAACTGAGTTGCTATTGTATTTTTTTAATACTTTGAGTTGTCACCTACAGTTTTAAATGTTTTGTATATACTACACTATTATTGTTGTTTTTACCCTGCATTTGAGTTGAGTTATTCATGAGTTGAGTAAAGCCAAGGTAAGTGTTCTTTTCAGATTCCTTTCAAGCTTATGTTATGTTTAGTTTTGTTGGGTTATGAAGGAGTGATAGGGCGTCATGCGGAAGCTTACAATTTGCAAATCATATGGTTGATAAATCAGATAAGAAAAACTTATATTAAAAATCAAAATATTATTATATCAAAACTAATATAAAGAAAAACATTGAAAGTTTAGAGAGAATAAATCTCCCCATAAACAAGAATCTTAAACGACTACATTGTGGATGTTATTGTTATTGTGTTAGAAGAAACAAACTTATATTTATAGAGTCCTAAAAACCTTTCCTACTAGAAAAAGAGTCCTAAAACCTTTCCTACTAGAAAAAAAGTCCTAAAAGGAGAGAATAAATCAAATATAAAATAATATTATATTTTCCTTTCAAGAAAAGTAAAAACATTTAATGTTTTTTTTTTCTTTAAGAAAAAATAAATCTTAAACTATGGTAAGAAAATCAGGGCAAAACCCTAACAAGTTTACCCTCGCATACTTGTACATTCAATGTACTGATGCCATTTGGCTTGCATCATTTTATGATGCAGACACAGGTAACCAAAATTAGCATTCAGCGCCTCGTTGATCCAGTTGAGTACTCAGAGTCAGTTGGTGAGCCTCCTTGCTATGGAGGACCCCTTTTATCATTTGATTTAGTACTTTAGTTGTTAGGATGATCAGGGGTCTTGTCCCGACGTTCCCCTTTGTTTTAGAGGCTTCATAGACGAGTAGTCATAGTTCTTGAATCTTGTATTTCAGATGTTTTTGCTATAAGACTTAAGTTGCCATTTATGGCTAGTTTGAATGTTTATTCTTAAACGTTCTAAGTTTATTTGAGACAGTTGTTTTTAAAGTGTTTTTGAATCCATGTATTAATGTTTAAGTCTTCCGCTATAAGTTAAGCCAGACCAAGGGTTCGCTTGGGGCCAACAAGCGCCAGTCCCGTTCAGGGTGTAGGCTCGGGGTGTGACAACACTCCCCTTCAGTTTTTTGCTTATTGTAAAAAAAGGTGTCAAAATAACACAGCGGAACCCTATATGAGGTATCTAAAATGAACATCGTCTAGTTAAGATGTCTAAGTGAAATTTGATGCCAACTTTAGGGGCCACTGATAAATTTTAGCAATGCCTATTAGAAGTTGATATCTAGAAGGGTTATCATTGATCATGCAAGAAACTTTAGGATCATAAAAAAAAAAAATCATTTCAGATTTCTTACGTGTAAAAATAATATAAGTTTGCAAACCATGTGATGTTACAGTGTTTCATCGGCGCCAAATTGAACTTTACTCATAAAACAGTCACTCAGAGATTCTTAGCAGTAGAATTTTATTTTTTTAAAATGGTCTTCCTGTTTTGTCAGTGTTACTGTATATAATATTAAGGAATCAAAATACTGTAGTACATCACACCTAGAAAAATAAATAAATATTGTAGTACTATTAACCAGTACATGAAGGCACATGCCTGATGCCACTAATCAAAATTGGGTTATTGTTTAATTTCCGTCCCATGAGGGGGACAAAATTGTTGAACCAAAACCAAAAAATTAATATATTTTAAGGATTTGATGTGTGGAGAGGCTGGGAATTGTTGATCGGGGTTTGTGTGTTGGGTTTCAAAGTAATTAGGATATCATGCGAAAATTTACAATTACAAATTAATATGATAATAAATTAAATGACAAATTTATACTAAAAAATAATATTGTTATTATGAAAGAAAAAAAGATAAATATATTTCCGAACTATCATAAATGGTATGCAGATACTTCCGTCATACACTGATACCTCTTACATGAAAATTAATATAAAAGAAAATATTAAAATGGTTGAGAGAAAAAGTGTACCCATAAATAAATAATCAAATATAGAAGAGAAAAAAGTTTTCCCTTCGAAAGAAACTAATCATGTATGAAAAGATGAGTCTTTAAATTTTAGGGTTTCATAAGCTTTCCCCAAGAAAAGAATAATCAAATATAGAAGAGAATCATATTTTTTTTTCAGAAAAAAGTTAAAACATTTGTGGTAATAATTTAAAATTACTTCAGAAGAAAGTAAAACTCAAATATGATAAGAAAATTAGGAAAAAACCTTGTGACCGGGCTTGCGTCTTGGCCTTCCAACATAGTCTTTGTTCATGGTGAAAAACTCAGTCGCATCATCCTGAAAATTCTCTGATCCAAGATTCTCAAATGATCCATTATCATCAGATTGATCATCGTTCTTCGAGTTGTGTGTACTTGCTAAATTCATCGAATCCCTCTCATTGTCCTGATCATGAAATTCAAATCAAGGGGAAAAATAGTAACAGAGAAATCACTCAAACTAGTGTCAAGCAAATAGTAAATAAATTTACATATATTTAAAAGAGGAGAACCTGATGATGTACGCTCTTTCGTGAGTCATGACCAAGATGCCTATCGTAGTTTCCTGCATTAATTTTAAAGGAGAAAATGCCCAAATTGAGAAATAATTTATTTTCTTTGATCATTTCCAGCTCGCTAAATGCAAATTAAATAGGCTATAGCTAGCTGTAGATATAAGCTTAGTTGAGCAAAACGAAACAATTTAGACACTTGATGAAGCTAGCAGGGAGGAGTTGATCGAGAACATAGGAAAAACATATTTCCATTCACTTAATTTGCTTGAGAAAAAAAGAATAGATGGATCAACTACAAAGAATTGTGATACTCTTGCACGTAACGCGAATCTGAAAATTCGTGCAACTTTCTATTTATACATACAAGTATATATAGTACTACCCCTTTTTCACAAGAACATCTAACTGAAGAAAAACATCTAACTAGATCTACCAAAAAGTTTTTCTCTTGCACTTGCCGCACCTGATGATTCAGTTTTCTTCACTTCCATCATGTCTTTCTTTCTCTCTATCATCATTTTTCTTCCTTCCATTTTTCCAATGCTGAATTCCGCAGCTGCCGGTACACCATCCAAAACTTCCTGAAATTTCAATTTTAACTTTGAAAAATAAGTAATTTGATCACGTGAAATCACAACAAGTGAGGCTTTATACAAGTGGTTGAACAACTTCATCATCAATCAGTGAAGTTCGAGTCACACGGGATGATAAGTGAAAACACAATTGATCCTCCTGAATTGAGGTGGAAAAAAAGGGGAAATTATCAAATCAACTTTAGTACCTTGTTCTTAGGTGGGTGAGGTCTTGCCATGTGATAATCAGCATTAAGAGCGACAAAACTTCCTCTGTTGGCCTTCATTGAATGGCTTTTACTACTTATACCGCTCATTTCTCTCAACTTCCCCTCCCCTTTATGGTACTTTATATTTCCAACAGAATGGATACTTGCACTTGCCGCACCTGATGAATCAGCTTTCTTCACTTCCTTCATATCTTTCTGTATCTCTATCATCATTTTTCTTCCTCCCATTTTTCCATTGCTGAATTCCGCAGCTGCCGGTACACCATCCAAAACTTCCTGAAATTTCAATTTTAACTTTGAAAAATAAGAATTTTGATCACGTAATAAGTGGTTGAACAACTTCATCATCAACTAGTGAAGTTTGAGTCACGCTAGATGATAAGTGGAAACACTATTGATCCTCGTGAAGTGAGGTGGGAAAAAAGGGGTAATTATCAAATCAACTTTATTACCTTCTTCACACTCAGATGACTCCTTAGATCCCTGATGTTGTCAATTTCAGCCTCATGGACTATTTGTTTAGCTGCATAAGGAAGAACAACTATTTATATTTCCATTGAAAAATAAAATTATAAATGTATTGAAGAGTGGAAAATTAGAGAAAGGCAGTACATACCTTGGTCATCAGTATGAACAATTGTATCCTTTATAGTAAGAAAAATGAAGAGAAGCATAACAAACATAAAGGAACTAAAACTTAGAGACACCATTTTTTGACCTGTTTTCTTTTTTGGTATGTCTGCAATAAAGGAGAGGGAGGATGCACATGGAAGGAAACAGGGGAGATTTATAGAATGCCCAAATTCCAAAACCAAGTCAAAGCTAGGGTAAAATGTTAACTGATATTGTGAACGAGGGCGAGGAGATATGCTTCGCCAGCTGCATGGTATGTAACTAATTAAGTTTGCGGAAATTCTACCCCTCAAACCCCCACTCGTGAGATCACACTGAGCATGTTATTGTTTGTTGCTTGTGGAAATTCATCTGAAAATTTTGGATCATGTGTATGCGAATGTAATTTAGGCATTAGTTATATCAAAATTAGGAATTATTTAGGGGCCCTAGTTATATTATTATGAAGGAAAATTTATGCGGTTAAGCAAACTTATACTATTTAATTATTCATCATAGTTATAGTTTTCTATAATTACCACTCACGACTAACATTATATATTAATTACGTGGGCTGAATTCGAATTTGTATAATTAGTCACGTTTGTATATGTATAATTCGCCAGAATATACAAATACATATGTATAATATACAATTATCTAACCGATATACATATACAATTCACCTCTCTCCCACTCTCTGCACTCTCTCGCTCGCCTCTCTCCTCCCTCTCCCAATCTCGCTTGTCATATATACAAATGCATATGTATAATATATATTTTATCTAACCGATATAAATATACAATTCACCTCTCTCTCACTCTTTGCCCTCTCTCGCTCGCCTCTCTCCTCCTTCTCCCAATCTCACTCGTCGCTCTCCTCCCTCTCCCAATCTCGCTCGCCTCTCTACTCCCTCTCCCAATCTCGCTTGCCATATATACAAATACATATGTATAATATACAATTATCTAACCGAGATACATATATAATTCACCTCTCTCCCACTCTTTGCCCTCTCTCACTCGCCTCTCTCCTCTCTCTCCCAGTCTCGCTCGCCTCTCTCCTCCCTATAACATGTAGCTACGAATTGTAATTATCAAGCTATAGATATGGAGAGCAATTAGGTTATTTTTGAGTGACTATATGCGAAAGTTCCTCTATTATGAATTTTCCCCAACCCAATAAGGATATCCCTCAAATAGCTATCGGGCTGAGAAGAGTTATTGGGTCGAGTCGAGCAACCGGGCCAGGTTAATTAGGCTCCAGGTTAATCAGTGTGATTTTGGGATTACACAATATTGTGATTATACAATGTAATTGTACATTGTACCAGTAAAAGAGGAAAGCAAAAAATAATTATAAGAAATAAAATGTCCTCTCCTACTATTTAGAACTGTTGTGATACTGATGTAAAAGATATGCCATAGTCACTTAATTTGCTTGAGAAAAGAAAAAGAATAGATGGATAAACTACAAAGAATTGCGATACTCATGCACGTAACGTGAATCTGAAAATTCGTGCAACTTTCTATTTATACATACAAGTATATATAGTACTATCCCTTTTTTCACAAGAACATCTAGCATCTACCAAAAAGTTTTTATCACTTTCACTCACTCAGTTGTTCTTAGGTGGGTGTGGTCTTGTCATGTGATAATTAGCATTAAGAGCGACAAAACTTCCTGTATTGGCCTTCATTGAATGGCTTTTACTACTCATTTCTCTTCATTTCCCCTGCCCTTTATGGTACTTTAAATTTCAAACAGGATGAACACTTGCACCTGATGAATCAGCTTTCGCCACTTCCTTCATGTCTTTCTGTCTCTCTATCATCATTTTTCCATTGCTGAATTCCGCAGCTGCCGGTACACCATCCAAAACTTCCTGAAAATTCAATTTTCACTTTAAAAAATAAGATATTTGATCACGTAATTTGAGTATAGAGAAAAAAATAATAATATTGTAACTAATTAAAGGGGAAATCAAGACAACCGAGACTTTGCTCTGGTTGAGCACCTTCATCATCAACCAGGGTTCGAGTCAAGCGGGAGGGTAAGGTGAGATGAAAAAAAAGGAAGGGGAAATAGAATCAACTTTAGTTCCTTTTCCACATTCAGATGACTCAGTATCATTTTCAGCTTCATGTACCATTTGTTTAACTGCATAAGGAAGATCAACTATTTAAATTTCCATTAGAAAACAAAATTATAAATGTATTGAAGAGTGGAAAAAAGAGAAAGGCAGTACATACGTTGGTCATCAGTATGAGCAATTGTATCCTTTATTGTAAGAAAAATTAAGAGAAGCATAACAAACTTAAAGACACCATTTTTGACCTCTTTTCTTTTTTTTGGTATATATGTACTCTGCAATAAAGGAGAGGGAGGATGCACATCGAAGGAAACAGGGGAGATTTATAGAAACACCAAATTCCAAACCCAAGTCAAAGCAAGGGTTAGAATTATTAACTTTTTCTTGTTTAAAAAATTGGTTAAGAGTACAATTGAGCCCCTGGGCAAACACAAAAGACTGAACAGAAAAAAAGAAAAGAGGAAGATGGTCTGTATGTATTGATGTTAGGGAAAAAGGGCTATGATGTTAGGGAAGAATCATTGTTAAGTTAGTATCTATCTTGTCTGTGGTTGGAAGAGTTAGTACAGGGCTAGGGTAAAATGTTAACTGATATTGTGATTTGTGAACGAGGGCGAGGAGATATACTTCGCCAGCTGCATGGTAAGTAACTAATTAAGTTTGCAGAAATTCTACCCCTCAAACCTCTACTCGTAAGATCACACTGAATATGTTATTGTTTGTTGCTTTGCGGAAATTCATCTGGAAATTTTGGATCATGTGTGTGCGAATGTAATTGAGGCATTAGTTATATCAAAATCAGGAATTATTTAGGGGCCCTATTTATATTATTATGAATTTGCCCCAACCCAATAAGGATATCCCTCAAATATATATTGGGCTGAGACTGAGCAACCGGGCCAGGTTAATTAGGGCTCCGGGTTAATCAGTGTAATTTTGGGATTACACAATATTGTGCTTATACAATGTAATGGTAACAGGTAAAAGAGGAAAGCAAATAATAAGAAATAAAATGTCCTCTCCTACTATTTAGAACTGTTGTGTATGTAAAAGATGTGCCAATGACAGTAAGAAGTTTGACATCTACAAAGGTTACCATTGATCATTGCAAGAAACTTTAGGGTCACAAAAAATCATTTCAGACCTTTTACAAGTAAAAATTAAAAAGATTCGTAAAAATGACATAAAATTTAAAAGCTACAAACTAACCATGTGATATTACACTGTTTCATCGGCGCCAAATTGAGCTTTAATCATAAATTACAGTCACTCTGAGATTCTTAGCAGTAGTATTATTTAAAAAATAAATAAAATATAGTATTTCTGTTTTGACCAGTGGTACTGTATGGAATATTAAGGAATCAAAATACTGATTCTTACATAATATTAACAACACATTAGTACATCACACCTAGAGAAAATAAATTATAGTATTAACTAGTACATGCCACTAAGCAAAATTGGGTTAGTGTTTAGTTTCCCTCCTATGAGAAGGCCAAAATTGTTGAACCAAAACCAAAAAATTAACATAATTTTAAGGATTTGATGTATGGAGAGGCTGAAAATTGTTGATTGGGGGTTTGTGATGGGGTTTGCTTCCAGATCCTGGACCTCCAACATAGTCTTTGTTCATCATGGTGAAAAACTCAGTCGAATCGTCCACAAGTTTCTCTGATTCAAGCTTCTGAAATGATCCATTATCATCAAATTGATCATCTGTTGAAACTAACTTAGTGGATGAGTTCTTCGAGTTGAGTCTACTTTCTGGATTAATCATCGAATTTTCCCTCTCATCGCCCTGCATCATGAAATTCAAATTAAGGAAAAAAAATATAGTAACACGGAAATCACTGAAATTAGAGTAGTAAATTTGCGTATAATTGAAAGAGGGGAACCTGATGATGTACGTTCTTTCGTGAGTCACCAAGCGGCCTATTGGATGGACTATTGTAGTTTCCTGCATTTTAAAGGAGAAAATTCCCAAATTGAGAAATGATTTCATTTCTTTTCCTTTCCTTTCCATATTTCCAGTTCGCTAAATGCAAATTAAATAGGCTAGCTGCAGGTGTAAGGTTAATTGAGCAAAACTAAATAATTTAGACACTTGATGAAGCTTGCAGGGAGGGAAAAAAGAACAGAGAAAAAACGTATTTCCATTCACTTAATTTGCTTAAGAAAAAAGAATAGATGGATCAACTACAAAGAATTGCATTCTCTTGCACGTCATGTGAAACTGAAAATTCGTGCAACTTTCTATTTATACATACAAGTATATATAGTACTCTCTTTCTACTAATTTTCTTGAGTTTGTTCACTCAGTTGTTCTTAGGTGGGTGAGGTCTTGCCATGTGATAATCAGCATTAAGAGCGACAAAACTTCCTCTATTGGCCTTCATTGAATGGCTTTTACTAGTTATACCGCTCATTTCTCTCAACTTCCCCTGCCCTTTATGGTACTTTATATTTCCAACAGAATGGATACTTGCACTTGCCGCACCTGATGAATCAGCTTTCTTCACTTCCTTCATATCTTTCTGTATCTCTATCATCATTTTTCTTCCTCCCATTTTTCCATTGCTGAATTCCGCAGCTGCCGGTACACCATCCAAAACTTCCTGAAATTTCAATTTTAACTTTGAAAAATAAGAAATTTGATCACGTAATAAGTGGTTGAACAATTTCATCATCAACATGTGAAGTTCGAGTCACGCTAGATGATAAGTGAAAACACTATTGATCGGTGGGAAAAAAGGGGAAATTATCAAATCAACTTTAGTACCTTCTTCACACTCAGATGACTCCTTAGATCCCTGATGATGTCAATTTCAGCCTCATGGACTATTTGTTTAGCTGCATAAGGAAGAACAACTATTTAAATTTCCATTGAAAAATAAAATTATAAATGTATTGAAGAGTGGAAAAAAGAGAAAGGCAGTAAGTACCTTGATCATCAGTATGAGCAATTGTATCCTTTATGGTAAGAAAAATGAAGAGTAGCATAACAAGCATAAAGGAACTAAAACTTAAAGACACCATTTTTTGACTTCTTTTCTTTTTTGGTATGTCTGCAATAAAGGAGGGGGAGGATGCACATGGAAGGAAACAGGGGAGATTTATAGAAAGCCCAAATTCCAAACCCAAGTCAAAGCTAGGGTTAGAATTATTAACTTTTTCTTGTTTAAAAAATTGGTTAATAGGTACAATTGAGCACCTGGGGAAACACAAAAGACTGAATAGAAAAAAAGACAGAGGAAGATGGTCTATATGCGTTGATGTTAGGGAAAAAGGGCTATGATAGCGTGGAGCTGAAGATACGGTTGTTTTTTTTCCCTGTCTGCCGCGCCATGCATGCAACGAGGAATTCTTTTGTTTTGTTTTCTTGGCCTACCTAAATTTACACCTATGACTAAGCCTTTCATTTTTTCGTGTGATTCATAGGTTGTGAGTTTAAGTTACAGAAGCAACTATTAATATTTGCATTAGAAACGACAGTCTAAATCACACTTCTTAGGGTGCATTAACTATAGTGTCGACTAGTTTTGAAGGCGTTGTGGTAGAAGTAGCAAATGAATGAGAACTTCGAAACTAAGTCAAACTTTAGAGGGGTAGCTAGATTTTCCTTTATGAATCAGAATTAGTTGAGTGTCAAAGCCGATAATGAAAGATTATTTTTTTAAAAGGGCAAGGAATGATTTAGGTTTACACAAAAGTGATTCAAAAGTATTAACAATTTTGACTTTATGAAGAAATGGGAAAAAATCATAATTCTCCTAGCTCCTATGAAAAAGATCAAACCGTTAATTAACAGTTTATTTCATAAATAAAAGCAGCGTCTATCTTGCCTTTTAAAAATATCATGCTCTACAGTCTACTCTATGTACTTTTGTATCGTTATATTTGATTAATTTTTAAGTTCGACTCTATGTTCTTTTCGTCTTAATTCATAAAGCTTTTCATATTTCTTCTTTGCTACTTGGACATTATATTTCGTACTGGAAAATAGTATTATTTAGAGCTAGAACAGTCACATACTATAATTGCTTCTTGGTAAAACAGTGAACCTAACTATAGCTAGGATTGATTAATTAATTAGGAAACCTTTACAAACCTATTGTTAACAGGCACCACCTGGCAGTCCTGGTCAAGAAAATTTCTCCTACCACTTATTGTTGTTATAATATTAATTTTGTTTGGTGAACACACATGATTAATGAATTCTCTCAGATTTCCTTTTGCCAAAAGTAAGTGAAAGGAACAGAGTAATATAATTCACGTAAAACACGTACGTCATCTCAAATTATCTATCGTGATTTTTATAAATGGTTGCCTAACATTATTTGTCATTTTAAGGTTACTAGTAATTGTTCTTGAAAACCACGTACAAACACCTCAATTATGGGGTGATAACGTATAAATAGAGTAAATATATAATGAATAGAGATAGAATAGTCAAACTTTTTTCTAATTACTACTGTCATACTTTCTTTAAGAGTGCGTGAAAGAGAAACACGACGAATAATTTGAGATCACGATATGTAATTATTAGGTAAATGAGGATGGGTGATTATCGAGAGCAAGGAGTCGGTCAGGGGGAAAACCCAAAATGTTGAAGAAGAAGTAGAAGGAGAAGAACATGGGCAAGTGGTAAATTCTTGAATAACTAAACACCTAACCTATGATGCATAACATTATTATATTATACTTAACAGCTCTTTTAACTTTATAGTTAGGTTTTAACAAACAAATTCAGAACACGAGAGCTCGACCTCCCATTTTTTTATTATCTTTATCAGTGGGTGCATGCCCCTTGTTCTTTTGTGTCTTAAACTCTTATTTTACTAGTTTTAAATTGACACATTAAAAAAAAAACAAGTTATTTGAACTGATTTTGGCTTTGAGGTGTAAACATAGAAATTGCAGTCCATATCTAGTTTTCATTTTTCCATTTAAGTTAGATGCACAAGATTAGGACACGTGTCCGTTAGTGTAAAGGATACAAGTGCTCCACTTTTTTGATGGAAAAGACTCTGATATTTCAATAGTATAATAAAGAGGATATGTATATCATTTTTCGATAGTTCGAATATATTTGTGATTTTTCCTTTATAAGTTTGGTGCCGTTCAGCTCTGTGTAAACACAGTGCAGTTCTCTGGAAAATGTAATTACCAAGTTACATTCCAGTCAAAAAGTGTTAACGCACATTCGTTTACCTTGAGGTGTAAACACACAGTATTTGCAAATATCAAGCCATCTTTATTGGTCCACCCTTGGAGATTGTTCCGTGTTGAGGGCGAATAACTGACTAACTGTATGTAAGTCCATGAAAGAGACAAATCAATAGTTAATTACTCCTTTCGTCTTCTATTGTTCAAATATTTCCTAATTTGACAATTTTTTCTTATTATACCTTTAATTTATTAATATTGAGTTAATGTTTTTGAAAAATATAGTGAATAAATATGTTGGAAACTTAACAATTAATAGAGGTAGATGGTAAACTCACTATATTAATTACTGTTTTTAATAAGTATGTCAAGTCAAAATTTGACAAGTTAAAAGGAACGGTAGGAGTTTTATGTACTCATGTGCGTCCACTTTATATTATAAATAAATGTTTATTTTTAAATAAAGATTTACTTTTGTTTGTCTAGTGGTTTGAAAAAATTAAAAGATGATTTATTACTTAAGTCCTAATTTATCTTTATTATTAAAAATAGTCATTTTTCAATGCATTAGATTTATTATATTCAAAGGGTGATATACTGTCAAACTTTTCTATAACGTCTGATTTCTCCGAAATTGATCTTAATAAAATTACCCTTCTATAATCATTTATATATATATATATATAACAACACCTCGACAAACGTTTTCACTATAAAGAGGTTTGATTGTGGTAAATTTATCATTCTATTGATGGTTTTTTAAATGATATGTAAAATCAATATTGGACAAGTAAAAATGGACGGAGGAAGTACTCCCTTTGCCCATCTTTACATATCCTCTATACTATTTTGGAATGTCCAACAATACTTGTCTAGTTATAAAATCAATGAATAATTTACTATTTTGTATCTATTACCCTTGCTACTAAATAATGTTCATTTATCAATCTTTAGATGACTTATATTTAATAAAGGGTGATTTGGTAAATATTAATTCTATCATTTACTGCTTCTTAATTCCTACGCAAGTCAATAATTGACAACTATTATTAGACATAGGTTGATTTGGTGTACTAAAACAATGTTCTCTACTCTGTGATTACTACTCATATTTTGTTTGTTTAAGCTGACAAGTAATCAACTATGTTTTAATTCATTGTGATTGGTGATTAATTTTAATTAGTGGGATCGACAATGAAAATGTGCTAATATGGTCAGACATTACAGCTGAAATTAAAATGTAATTACTAAAATCGAGGATGATGGAGTGTTGAAACTAGCTAGTTGACCGTTGACTAAATGTTTAGAGAAAAAGCTGTAAAGTAATTTTTAACAAAATATTTAAGAAGATTACAAAAGCATCGAGACAGAGTGTGAACTCATGTGAAGGTAACTTTTGCTCTCTGCTCCATCATTCCCCGTTGACACAGTGTAAAACTTATTAATTTCCGTTCATTTTTACTTATCACGTTTTATTTTATAAGAGTTAATTTGATTAATGTTAAGATCTAATACTCCATATCATATCAGATCATATAAAAGGGGAGGGATGAAGTATATTACACTACGAGCAATCTTAAATTATTTAATTTGATTGCACTATACTAGGATGAAGGATGTTGAACAATTAAGGGTTGTTTGGTGTGAAGGATGACATCAAATAATTCTGAGATTAAATTATAGTGACGCTTAATTTGTTGTTTGGTTGGCAAGTTCGGAATAACTTATCTCGAGATTAATAATTACTACCGGGAGATAGGTTATTTCTATCCTTGGATGGTATAGTAAATGACAAAAATATTCCCTAGAATCCTTTTTATACATCACTTTTCACATTTATGAAGAGCATTTTTATAAATAAATAAATTATTTTTAAAATTTATTATTTTGAACACATCAAATTCAATACTCCGTAAAAAGTAATCTTAGCATAACTTACCCCGTTATAACTAATCTCATCAATTCATAACTTGAATTCATAGTCTTGATTAGGGTTCTAGGCTTGTTTTGGGGGGTGAAGTACTTTATTGGTGTTTCAAACACTGGGATTTGGGAAAAGGGAAAAATATGTTTGGGTTTTCAAGAGAGTAGCACATGAAAGGCACTATTAAAGGCAATTGGCATGACCACCGTGGGTGTCGCTGATTCCTCGATCTTCAGACTTAAACTTCATGCCATGACAAACTTTTTGGCAATAACAATTAACCCTTTTGGAAACTTGCATTTTACTTGCTTTGTAGAAAACCTTGGACATGCTTTGTCACAAGTTAGACTTGCACAAATCTTAAATATATATAAAATTCTTTAAAGTTTAGGTCTTTTTGTCTTAAGTTGATGCAAAATTGATTTTCGTAGGTAAGGACCGTCTTAATAAGTTTGGAGGCCTAAAGTCAAACTTCATGGATAGATTTTAATTTTTTTAGTTGACATATATAAATTGAATAATTATAATATATTCAGTGTAATCCTACAAATGAGGTCCGAAAAGATAGGATATATGCGAACATTATGAAGTAAAAATGTAAATTTTAAATTAAAAAAAAGTTAGAATAATAAAACTTGACTCAACAATTTGAAAAGTTTATATAATGACATCGAAATAGTGTTGCGCTGAATTTGATAAGTAGATATAGTGATATTAAAATAGTGGTGATTAGTTTTAGTACTTGAAATTTAAAGAAGATACCAAAAAATAAATTTGATCTTTTTATAAATATACAACAATAGATTTTGCATAATATGAAAGGTTTAACCACTTAGAGAGATTTTATAATATTCAATGAGAGAATAAAAGTTGGGAAAGGGCAATAAAGAAAAAGTAAATATTGTTAGAAAATAATATATTGTGTATGTCCACTACATCAAAAAGTTACTCCATTACTTTACTCCATTATGAAGATAATCATAACCTCCATAACCTCCACCTTTAAAA